TTAAGGGACATTGTCACTTTCAGACCATCATGTGTTCTGGTTCGATGGAAGCTCTTTGCCTCATGTAGGGTTATCATTAGGAAATTAAGAGATGCATGATCTGTACTGAGAAGGTGGCTGAATTGAAGTACAACATGCCTGCAAAAGAAGCATGGCACATTGCAAAGCAAAATTTATTTGCTAACCTGGAAAAAAATTGAGATTTGAAGCTGTCAGGGAAGTAACTTCTAGCAGTCTACAGCATAATTTTTTTGGGATAATTTTTTTTGCCAGAAATTGATATTGGAATTAGTTTAAAGAATATGTATTTAACTGTCTATGATCACAATTCACAAAGTAGCTGGCACAAAGTGGTGTGGCAGCCAGTGGTTTTCTGCCACCTACTGGATTCTAATGTCAATCCTGCTTATTTAATCTTCAGATTTCCCTACAACCCTTGTAAATATATTAATTGATTAAGAGTGGATCCCTGGACAAGACCCGTATGAAATTAAATGGGATGGGAATGGCACTTAATAGGGAAGCCTATCAAACTGATCAATTTTGCTCAGCTCCAGGTCTTCACATCAATTTTCCTACCCTGCTCTATACTTTCTAAAGAATGTTTGTTCCAAGAAATTAGTGTTAAACAATCTCCCTTCCCTCCCTTGGTTTGCACTTTCTCCTCATCCTCTGTCTGCTTGATAATGTAATAATACTATGCAGCAGAACTTACCTCTTATTTCTTTGGGTGGTGTTTTAACACTAAAATATGTTTTAACATTTAAAAATGCTAATATTTCTTTTGTCTTAGCATTTTTAATGGGTCACCGTGGAAGATAAAAACTGTGAATAGATTTTTGTAGATTAGAAAAGGTTTAATTCCTTTCGTGCAGGAATTTAATGTTCACCTTAATTAATGTTTCTTTCAGTCATCAAAGAAAGCTTTTGTCACTACCTGATTTATATCTTTCGATTGTACTTTCAATATCCTCATTTGATGTCTATCCCATGGAGGTTGGGGGGGAAGAGGGAGTTTAATGATGATATTGTTGTAAATGATGCTGATTAGGATAAATATATATATAACATTAATAATGATTTTAAAACTATACAATGACTTGATGAGGTATTTTTTATGTGCATGTGCATGTTATAGTAGCAGTATGTATTTTACATGTTTTTTTTAATATTCAAGTACCCTTTAATAAACAAGTCTAACAAGTAATAAATTGGAGGGTAACTGTGCAGATGAAGTGGTGAGGAATTACCTTCTTTCTAATTGGCTTTTTGTTTTTTCCGTGGATTAGTCAGAGACAGGGAAAGATGTCAGGCTACTTTTGTAGGAGTTGCATTTACACCCAATCGATTATTAAAATTAGACATAATTGCTTCATGTGGAGCATCTCAATTGACCCAGTTTTATTCCCTTGATTTTTATGGAAATGTCGCAGTACCATTAGTCAACACAGGAATATATTATGGAGATGATATGAACAAACAATATTATGTAGTTTTAAAATTAGCGTGAGCTATATTTATGCTCTAGCTTTGGCTTTTATAGAAGCATTGTACGTGTAAAAGTGAAAGCAAACTTCAACGTGATCTCAACGTTTGTGATTTAGTTGTAAATCAAATGTAATATTAAACATGATTTTTATGCTGGTTGAAATGGGTCCTATTATTGGAAATTCTGTATTTCCGTGTATGGTTGGTTCCCCTATTACATCCGTGCCATCGATGGCGTGAAGAGTGAGGAGTGACTTTACATCCGAGCATAATAGCTCGTTGCACATACCTAAACAGTCTGTGTCACGCAATCAAATTCAGCTTGTTACCTAACGCTACCCTCGTTTATAGCTCTTGCCTACCGTTAGTCTTCTCCTCCTCCAGTTATTTAATCAACAGAGAGGTTTTTTTTCTGAAATTTATCCTCAGAAGTTGGAAATGAATTGAGTTCGAGCGATGAAAGAAAGAATTAGCGTTTCCCAAGGCAAATAATAGATTTCATTGTGTTTTATTTCAAACACTGAACACGCGGCGGAAAGACTGTACCTGATGCCGGTAAAAAGACAAAGAAGGTGAAAAATCCGGCATCGATCGTGGTCCCTTCCACATGTAAAGCAAGGGGTCTTTTGCTTAACAATTGTTCTTAATGGCAAAATTAAATGTTTACGAGAAGTCGTTTTAAACTCCATCAGTTACTTAAGACAACTTAATGTATTATGTTAGAAGCTCTGTTGCCCAACAGACATCACTAAGTTTGTAAACTTCGATGGAAAAACTAACCTATTGGCTGGCTTATTGGATTCGAAAGATACAAGTAATGACAAATAACTATCGGTAACAACAGTTGTAATGTCTTCTCAAAGCAACCTTGGAAACCTTCACTCCTTTGGGAGTGTCGTCCAGTTTGATAATCTGTGGTCAGTAGAAGTATATCAAAAAACGGAAAACTGGTTGGAAAAAATGCACACGACAGCTTTTAATCGACCAGTAATCCGCAGGCAAAGTTGTTCGATTCAACTGAAGTCAGTTTGAATTTTTTACTGCGTACAATTCTGTTCATATTCTGTTTGTCTCTTTGTAAAGCACAATCAACTCCTCTGCAAGACAAGTCAGTATTAAATA